GCTGGGCGGGGTCACTCATTATTTGGATGATTTTTTATTGGCCTCAGATAGTGATTCCGGCAATTGCTCGGTGTTGCTACATGCCTTCGCTGAACTGACGCAGGAACTGGGGGTTCCGCTGGCAGCGGACAAGACAGAGGGTCCTGCAACCCAACTTACTTACCTGGGTATCCTACTGGATACGGTGTCCCAAACTTCCAGCTTGCCGAAGGATAAGCTGGTTGCTTTGAAGACGGTCATTGAGGAATTGATCCCTTTGGAGAAGGTGTCCCTTCGGCAGATCCAATCGCTGCTGGGTCACCTGAATTTTGCGTGCAGGGTGGTGGCCCCTGGACGCCCCTTTTGTTCACGCCTGGCCCGGCTTACCGTGGGTTTGAAGGCCCCGCATCATCGGGTTCGTTTATCTAGAGAAGTGCGGGACCGATCTCAGCATTTGGCTTGAATTCTTGGAGGAATTCAATGGGGTGTCGTTATGGCAAGACACGTTGAACTTGCATAATGACTTTCAGGTGCATTCGGATGCCGCAGGTTCCCAAGGTTTCGGTCTATTTTGGAAAGGAAGGTGGTGTGCCATGCGGTGGCCGCTGGAGTGGCAAGGGACAGACATTACGCGGGATCTAACTTTTCTTGAGTTTTTTCCCATTGCAGTGGCAGTGCACTTGTGGGTCGATGAGTTCAGGGACCGACGTGTTTGCTTCTGGACCGATAACCTGGCGGTGGTGAACGTGTTGGCCAAACTGTCGTCCCGCTCTCCTAGGGTGTCGGCCCTTTTGCGTGTTTTTGTATTACATTGCTTACGCTGTAATATAGTGTTTTCTGCACGTTTCGTCCCTGGAGTGTCTAATGAAATTGCTGATGCTCTGTCCCGATTTCAGATGGAGCGGTTCAGACTTCTGGTTCCAGAGGCTCGCTTACGTCCGGAATATTTCCCGGATCATCTATGGAGCCTTGGCAGGAATTAGTTTTTCAGGGAGTAGCTGCTTCTGTTTCCTCTTCTACCCTCAGATCATACACAAAAGCATGGACTGATTTTCTGGCCTTTACATATCAGTCGGTAGGGGAGGAGATGAGGGCTTCTCCCTCATCTTCGCAGGTGCTAAGATATTTGTCGCACCTGTTTCAGCTGGGCCGCGCAGTCAAGACGATAAGGATCCAGGCGGCCGCCATTTCCTTTTTCTGTAAATCTTTATTTGACAAGGACCCCTGCGCAAAGTTTGTTGTGCGTAAGGCCCTCGAAGGGTGGGGTAGGCTTTTTCCTCCCCAGCCAGTGGCACGGCACCTGATATCCTTTGACCTGCTGTGTAAGATGCGCAAGGAATTGAGGAAGCTTTGCTGGTCAGGGTACGAGGCGCGCCTTTTTTCCGCAGCCTTTTCCATCGCCTTTTTTGGGGCCCTAAGGGTTGGTGAGCTCGTGTTGGAGGCTCACGGGGACAGCCGTTCCAGGGGTTTATTGCTGGGGGACGTACAGCTATCCCCAATGGAGCTGAGACTTATGATTAGGAATTCGAAAACTGACCAACAAGGCAGGGGAGCCCTTATTCGGCTTCCGGCTACAGGGGAGGTGGGTCCTTGCCCGGTCAAGGATGTCAGGAGGTACCTGGCTGTCCGGGCTCCAGGGGATGGTCCCCTGTTGAGGCATGAGAATGGTTTGCCTCTGTCCAGACGCCAATTTGCATTGGTGATGCGAAAGGCCATTAAGGCTTGCGGTGGATCTGCACATGGTTTTGCCCCCCACTCTTTTAGGATTGGTGCTGCCACGACAGCGGCGCACTGGGGACTGTCAGCGAGCAGAATTAAGGATTTGGGCCGCTGGAAATCCGACGCGTTCAGAGCCTATGTTCGTTAACATGTCATATTCTTACATATGTTTTGTTTATTCACCTCAGGTTTAGCGGCTGTCCGCATCTGGATGGTGGGGCACAGCATCGTGCATTGGGCCGGCGTTGAGGCCCAGCGGTTTGGATTGGGACCAGGTCTCGGTCTTCCTCCACACGTGCACGTCTCTTGGCTGACCAGAAGGGGAATGTCGTGGCCAGAGTTTCTGCCACTGATGAGGAGGCAATTGGGCGTGGAACGGCCGCCCTCGGCCATTGTAATTCAGCTCGGGGAGAACGACCTGGTCTCCGTGGACTGTTTTTCCTTGCGCGCTGCAATTATAAGTGACTTGGAGGTGCTGCGAGAAATGGTGCCGGCAGCAAAGATATTCTGGTCGAAGTTGTTGCAGCGCCGTGTTTGGAGGGGCAGTCGTTGCCCGGATGCCACTGAAGGGGTCAGAAAGCGGATTAATTCTGCTGTCTCAAAAAAGGTTTTTGAGCTGGGAGGCGATGTGATTGCACATCCGGAAATTCGCTTTCAGGAAGCATCTCTCTTTAGGGATGATGGGGTGCACCTTTCGGCCTTGGGGAATCGGGCGTGGCTGGGTGCGGTGGTGGCCAAGCTGAAGTCTTGGCTGGGTTTGTGTCTAGGGGTCGTCTGCCTTGGTGCGGGGGCCTGGTAGGAATTTACCATATGGCAGATTGGCTGGAGCCATATTGGGTTTCGCCTACTGCGTAGCAAATCGTCACAACTTGTAAGGTTGGCGGTTAGGCATTGGTTAAAATTGGTGGAAGGAGGGGTAAGTGCCTACCCCTCCAATGGTGGTGCGGAAAGGGAATTCCGTTAAAGGAATCCAGGGGCTTACCATCCTTTCGTCCTTGTCCCCGGAGTCGGACTTGGGCCGGGTAAGCCCCACAGGAACATGAGGGTGAGAAGTGAGGGACTGATACCCAGCTTCATATTTTCTCACCCAATACTTGTTTCCCACGCTGACTTCCGCTGGAATCCGGAAGTCAGCTCTGTCCCTGGGCATGGACAGATAGTCATAACCAATGCCTAAGCAACCCACTCACATATTTTGTATTGAATAAAGTTGTGGCCAAAATTATGCCAAAAACCTTAAACAAAAAATGATGCGTGAAGTGTGTCTTTTTGGTGGGGGGGTGGCTTTGTGGGACTCAACACGCAAAACAGTGAAACTCCTTTTACCCACACTGACATGCCAGCTGTCCCTTCCTTACATTACCAAGACTATAAAATACCTCTTGGTGAGCTTTTGATGTTTTTGGCCTCCTTAGCTTGGAAGTACCTGAGTCAGTTCTCAGGCTCTGTGTTTAAGTTTCAGTTCTGCATTGCAAGCAGCATGTTGATGAAGACTTCCTTTCTTGGGAAGTATCTTGCATCTTTTTGCATGCGCATCCTCTGGGCGGCCTCCACTTTGTGACAAGTCTCTTAGATTCAGCATCCTGCTACCTCTTAAACCTGCCTGCCTGTACAGAACCTCACATCAGCTAAAACAGCCTTGCAACTCTCTAGGGCCCCTTTTGCCTCTTGAGCAATCAATCATTATCTATATGTCTGCCAAATAAGTAGCAAACAAATAGTTAGGTTATAATGACACCAGGAAGGGTGACTGCTTTTCGGTAGCGGATGACTTAGAGAGTCTGATGTGCTTACCTGACCTCCTAGCACGTGGGTTGCTGTTATTGACCAAGAGTGGAAGGGGCAAGATGGTGGACTCACTGGCAGGAACACCAGACTGGCTCTGCTGACCTCAGTGCTGCCTCACCTTTGTTCTTTCTGGTAAGCCGCAGTGACTCACCTGCTGGGAGGTCAAGTAAGCACCTCCACCCCACCATAGTCCTTGCCTCCACTGTTTTTGCTGCTGCAAATGTGCTGCCACTTAGAAACTGCATTTCTAGACAGTTGTCTTAATGCAAGGGTCACCTATGTGTGCCCATGGGTGCCAGTGTGTCCCCCAATGCTTCTTAGGGCTCCTGGAAATGATTTCAGTAAATACCCCTTCAAAAATCCACAATGCAGAAGGTGCTGTTTGCTTTTCTTGCTCAGTACCTGTTTGCACTGGCTCAGACTCTTCCACATTAAGCCTGTCTCTTCCCATGCAGCAAAAAGAGATGGTAGGATTCTGATATGATGGAAGAGACTGTACTACTTCAGAATGTAGGTGGGGAGATACCATTTCTGAATGCTCCCCTACACAAATACAGTACATTCCTGCAAGTAAAAAGCTAACACATCAGGGAGAAAGTTTCTAGCCCAATCTGCTCCCTTTTGTGTTTGTTTTCTGTTTGCAGGGAGTTCTTTAGTTGCAGAAACATTCATTAATGTGACCATTGCCAGCAGTATAAAGTGCTAGAGAACATTACTACCGTGTTCTGCTGCCTCAGCCTTATAGCCTATCCAGGGTCCTTTGAATTAAAACAAAAACAGAACAATTAAAGAGAACGCCAGGAAAGATTTCACAAAGAACTGGGGATATCCAAAGCTCTGAATTCACAAAGACGTTTGGCTTATTTCAAAGCAAACACAAAAATAGGTTTTCCGATGCTCATTTTCTGTGCACAAAGAAACCTGATGTCAGAACCTCTGACATCAGGTTTCGTTGTTCACTGAAAATGAACACTAGAGAAACAACCCATTTGAACAAAAATCCAACCAGACTGCTTTAGGTATACAAATTAGTCCATGCTAGTACCTAGACATTCAATTATAATATTCCCCAAAGTTGGAAACATCTGGACTGGACCCTTAGTGCTCGCCTGCACAACTTCATGCATCCTGTTTTGAGTTCAGCAGCTGCAGGATAAGGGAAGAGGTTAAGCAACAGGAGACTTTTCATCTTCCTAAAAATCAATTAGGTGTTTTCTGTTGAGGAGTATTCAGCCCCCGAATGAGTCTGTGTGCCATGCAAATAAAGACAAGTTTACTTTTGTTACAAACAACACAGCACACTGACTCAAGTGACTTAAAGTCAAGTATTCAGCATAATTGTAGTGGCATTCTGCATATAAACCAGGATCTGAGTCCAGTGGAGATAAATGTAGCCATTTGGCTCCAAACACATACCCTCCATCATTTGTCCAATGAAAATAGTGACATCCTGTTTAATACTACTACTCCTAATAAGAAGAAGAGAAAAAGAAAAGAAAGCAATAGAAACTAAGTAATTGTGTATGTGTTTTAATAACTAAAATTGCTAAATAGCAATGGGGGAGGGGGAAGAGCCATTGCACTTTGATTGTTTCTTTGGTTAGAGGAATACTGTCAACAAAACAGGAAAGTAAATAAATATAAAATAAACTGATAAAATAAACTGGTGGGATCAAAAGTTAATTTTCTTTGAGACATAACACCAATTTTGAATCAGATTTGCATATTGGGTAAAATGGCCATAGGCTTAGCTAGCACATTTTGGGCCACCTCTTATTGCCAGGAGCCTCCTTATGGTTGCCAATGGAAAGATGGAAATCTGGAGTGTGGGAAATCTGGATTAAAAGAATATAGGACTGGAACAAGGCTTGTTCCCCTAAGGCAGTGTATGTATGGAATATTCTACTCTATTGTGACCAAATGATGGTTGGTTTCCTGAATGGTGCTTAGTAGCACAATTCAGAAAGCATTTAGGTGATGTGTTTTCAGCTGTATAAGTGGCATTTGACTGCTTTCTCTCTTCACAGCCATAGCAAGATTGCAGTTCACCATGGTTCCATATGTATGCTCAGTGTGCACTTTGAAGATATTCCAGACCTGTTACAGTTTTATCATTTGGCTCTCTATAATGAATTTGGAACCTTCAAGTAAAAACTGCTGTTTTCACTAGCTCATTTATTTCCTTCTCACTTTTCCCAAGTCTCTTGTAACATGAAGAGTCATTCCATGGTTTACTTTGGCCCAAGGAGGATACTTCCATGTTGGAACTCTCTGCCATGTAAAGCCTACATCATGGCTGAAACATGTAGCCACATGGATTTTTCTGGTCACATGGAGCTTTTTCACATCAGCAATGAACACTCCCATGAAATCTAGTACTGTCATAAGGAATCATTATAGGTTTAGGAGGATCCATGTGGGAAGCCATGCTAAACGTTTTCAAGTGAGGCAAGGAGAAGTAGCCTCCAATGGGAGAGTGAGTAGAGATTGATTGATTGATTGATTGATTGACTGACTGATTGATTGAATGATTGAATTGTGGTGGTGGAGAGTTATGGGGGCCCTTAATGACAACCCCAAACCATGGTACCCCTTTACTTTTGGGAGTTAAGGGGCATACCACAAAATGTAAGTAGGGAGTCCCCCCCCATGGCCCCTCTAAAATTTGGCCAACAGAATAAACCATTTCTTTTTCTTTAATAAAAATTGTGGTTGTGGGTTGTTGTCAAGCACATGGCAGGTGATCATATGTGGCTTGTGGACTTGGAGTCGTATAGACCCGAGGACATACAGTACTCTCTTAACCTTAGAGCCAGCCTACAAAAACACATAGACCAGGTGTGGGGAAACTTTGGCCCTCCAGATATTGTTGAGCTAGAACTCACTTGCTGGGGCATGTGGGAGTTGTAGTTCTGCAACATCTGGAGGGTCCCACCTGGTATAGATTGTAGACTGACTCTAAGTTCGATTTAGGCTGTGGCCTTGGTTGCAACTTACCCATTTTGTTCATTTGAACTAGGAAGAATGGCTCAGGACAAAGGACTCACATGTCATAGTGTTTGTCTGAACAATTCCCTCTTCTGCAGGGCCTTCTGGGTTATGGCAGAAGTGCTTCAAGAAACGCAGGGAACTAAGCAGGTGGAGCCAGTTTAATACAGGCAAATATAAAATCTCAGAAGAGCAGTGAAAGAGCAGCTCAAGGGCAACTCTTCCTAAACAACAACAACTATAAGTCAACACAGGCGCCAAGCAAACCAATTTACACTCCCACCACAGAGTCTTATTATGACACCACACTAGCTATCTGGAAATAAAATCCTTCATTTTAACTTTCCTCAGTGTTTTCTTTGCATTTTCTGTCAGATCCTGGTTGCTGTTGTTTTTTAGTCTTCTCAAAACAAATATACACATATATATTCACACTGGCAAGCTTATGCATGTTAAGAAAAGCCAAGTATCTGGCTACAATATATGTGTTCAAAGTAGTGCTTGTGCCAAGATCCTCTGTTTTATACATCACAACGTTTGTTGGGTTGCAGCTTAGAATTCACTTTCAGGTGCTGTATCAGTGTGGGATGGATCAACGAACCTATGAGGATGCTTTCAGTTGGTACCTGCTATTTTTTGCCAAATGTCAAGGTTTGACATTTGATGCTATTATCTGTTATCAGTTAATCACTCATCCTGAGTTTTTTTTGTTTCTCTTGATCTGATATTGAACTGAGTTGTGCTGTTAAAATCAAATAAACAGCCATGGATCTGGCGTTGCTTCTTCTTGGGGGCAAGCAGCAATATTTCAATTAGTCCCCTTGTTCTCCTCTGTGCAATTGCTGTATCCCGGTGCTTTTTGATGTCTCTGATCGATTCCCTTGGGAAGGAGAGAATGACTAAGTATGACTCAGTGGGGCTGCCTTTGCTCTCAGATGAAATATTCTTTCCGGCTCTCATCCATGGCTTCTTGAAGGGTAGGGTCATTTTTCAAAGCGGCATCTGCGCTTTCGGCAAATTCGGTTCCCTTTGCTTCGTTGGTGTGGTAGGTGCCCTTGTGCCGGTACATGTATCTCAGCATCACTACCAAGAGGCAAATCAAGACAAAAGCCACAGCTGCAATGACACCTATGGGGAGGAAGAAACATTTGAATGTTCCCTTTCATTAATGATTTCAAATAGTTGACGGTTTTTTGTTTTTGTTTTGCATAGATGGATGCTTCTGTTGAAGCCTTCAAAGAGAAAGCATTCATACACAGCAACACATCAGAAAGCGGCTTTGACATTGTGATGATGAAGACTGGATTAAGGAAAAAATATAAGCAATACAAAACAAAAACAAGAAACAACAAGATCAACCCCCCCCCATAGTTACATTTTGGTAGACCTGTTGCTGCACCCATGTTGGCAGCTGCTTGAGACTTTCAGATCTTGTCAGTGCTTCCATCTCCCATGGTTTTATGGTGTGGGCCACAGATTTTTTTGGTGTGGGCCACAGATTTTTTTGGTGTGGGCCACAGATTTTTTTGGTGTGGGCCACAGATTTTTTTGTACATTTTGTACATGATTCTATGCTACTTAATTCCTGCTCCATTCCTGCCACAGACTCTCTCCATTGCTCCTAACCAAGCTTACGTCTGAACCAGGAGTGTGAATAGAGTCAGTTTATATTGGAATTGGCAAAAAATTGAATTCCTCAAGCAATAATTCTAGCATGGTCTCCTCCTCTCCTCTCATTTCATTTTCTACAGTCCACCCAACGAGTCTGAACCAGGACTTCAGTTTTATTCATTGTTTGTTCTGCAGATCTGGGTCTGAGCTTCGACAGTTAGTCTTTCAAGCTTGGCTTACCATGAACATTTGACTCTGAACCTATCAGCATACCTGGGATCCTGAAGCAACCCCACAGTGGTTATGGTATAGGTATGGGAAATCACTTTACCTGTGCAAAGCACACTCAAGTCTGAAGCATTAAGAAACCCTCAGAGCTTTTGCTGCCTGATTCCAGGAAACAAAGTTACTGCTATGAAAAAGAAAATTGCCCCTGTAAAGATGTTGCCTCTGGTATAATAATGCGACTCCAATAGGGAATTCATCAATTTTTAAGGCCCGTGATGGACTCTCAAAGCACAATAGGCTATAATGCTCTTTAGATGTTGTACAGTATTAATAAGCCTCAGGGACTCAGCACAATTCAATTTTCCTCCTAGTAACTTGTAGGAAGCTGAAATTAAAGTTACAGGAGATGGAACCTAAGGGAAATACAGCAGAACTTCACTAATTTCCACTAATGACGGGGAATCCACCTGGTGAATTACTGAAATTAGCAAGTACAGCAAGGAAGTGAGCAAACACAATAGAAATAAAGAAGGCCCAAATAATACATCTTAACATTTAAGAAGCTTCTTTGGGGAGAAATAGTAATTCAAGCGAACAACTTGAATTAGTACGACAATGTGCTAATGGGACTGTAGCAAAATTGCTGTAACAAGTTTCTGTCATGGTAGCTCTCATCAGTGGAAAAGCCTAGAGAGGGAATGCTCTTCTTAACACCAGTTGATAATCTAAGATGGTTTTGTATGTGCACAGATAAACTTGCAGAGAGACAGTGAAGTTCCGTGAGCGGGGAGAAAAAGAGGAGGCCTCACACAGCAAGGTTTTGGGACAGTAGCATCTGGAATCCCATGACTTCAGATGCCCTGGGCTCTCGCAGATTTTAAAATGAGAGGTGGGAATGTGAGGATACCCACAAGGCAGAGCAGCCCCATGTGAGGCTGCTGTCTATAACCCATATAGTAATCAAACTATGGTACAACCAACAGGGATTGCATTCAGCTCCAGTGAGGAACCTTCTGCACACCCACATTTCTTAAGAGGCAATGGGTGATTTATGAGATGCCACTCTGAGCTCTGCCCCACACCCTCCTCAATCAGATTAGGGGAATCTCCAGAGCAGAATTAGGGAGTGCATAGAGGAGGAAAGTGGTAGGAAGTCCCATTGTGCAGGTGGGAATCCTTGCACTGATGGGATGCACTAGATACAAACCTTTGAGAAGCATTAAAGCACTCCCTTCATACTGGTCTGAATAGCTAGTGGGTCAAACTGTGTTTCCTGAATCAAGTTTTTGACCTGTTTAATCTCAGTTATTGCTTTTCACCTCTTCATTTGTCTTGCCTGCAAAATCATTAATATTATTATTTCTTGTTGTTTAGTCATTTAGTCGTGTCCGAATCTTCATGACCCCATGAACCAGAGCATGCCAGGCATTCCTGTCTTCCACAATATTATTATTATTGCCTGCTAAATCATTAATATTATTCTTATTATTAATAATAATAAAATCGGAATTAGAGTAGACCCACTTAAATAAATTTATTTGAATTAGTCATGTCAGTTGATGGATCTGAGTAGGGTTTATTTGGATACAACCCCTACTTTTCATCTTCTATACCCTCATTTTACAGGGTTTATCTGTTTAATCCTTTGTGTGGGGGGGATCAAAGTGTTCAATTTAGCACTAAGGGGATTGTTCCATCAGTGCAAGGATTTCTGCTTGCCCAACTGAACAATCTTCCATTTCTTCCCCCCTGCACTGTTCTGAGGGTTCTCCTGACCTGCCAAAGTGGATTTAGAGAAGGCAAGAGGGGTGCATAAGGCGGGGGAGGGGGAAAGCCCTATTGCACTAGTGGAAGTCCTTGTGTTGGTTTCTGCTAACAGAAAGAGCTGGTTGAATCCTACTATTATCTGTGTATGGTTTTCTCTAGACTTTAGCACTCTAACTGGGACTGTGCAGTCCAGACCTCCTTTCTCTCTGTGATGCTGCATTTAAAATAATAATAATAATTTATGAAATGATATTAAATACCTCCTGATGTAAACATACAATGGCTTTACTTCCTGTCTCTCCCCCCCCCTCACAGCTAGGAAGCCTTCCAGGTATATATGCCTGTTACACCCCTGGGCTGCTTACCCCATCCATGCAAGCACCAAACATATTTTCTGCCAATTCTCTCTGCACTTCCAGTGCCATGCTCCAACCTGCTTTCAGCAGGTCTGTGGTAGTTTCAGCGAGATTTTAGAAATCTGGAGCCTTGCCTTTTTGTATAAATGTCTTACATACAGAGAGTGCACATTTTGTTGTACCCTCCCCATAATATTCCACCCTCCCCAAGGAAGCCGTCATTGCATGTGCTAGAAAGTCTGTTGTATAGCAGCTTTATGGATGTCTTTTCAGGTTTGGCCTGAATGGTTTATCACATTTTCACAGACTATTAACAGAGACATATTGCATCACACCATTGATTTTTCAACAGAAAAGCTGAGTAGGTGTATATTATAATACTTATTTTTTCTGGGCATAGGCAGAGAGTCCCGTTTTGTTTCTTCTGTTCTGTGAAATACAGCCTTTGTTCAAGCAAGATTGTGTTCTTACCTCCGATGACTGCAATATCAGCTGCAGTCGGAGAGCTTCCAATATTTGCAGCTAGAAATAGAATATACAAAATCTAATTAGACAGGAGATCTCGGGTGATAAATAACCACAGCTACTGCACTGAATGGAGCAGCATTCTGTTCTTTTTTTAAGCATTCTATTTGTTTTCTTCCCATGAAACCAAGAATGTGAAGGATCTGGACTGCAAAGGGCAGAAATTAGAATCCTCAAATCCTCAAATTGTAGCATTGGAAAGGGACCTTGAGGTTCATCTGGTCCAACCTTTTGCAATTCAGGAATCTCAACTAAATCAAAAAGAAGAAGCCTAATTCAAGCACTGAGGATGCCCCATGCTATACACACTAAGGATGAGAAACCTGAGACCCACCAGATGCTGTTGCACTACGACTCCCATCAATGCTGACTCCAACATCAGAGAGCCAAAGGTTCTCCATCCCTGCTGTACACACTGAAAATCTATCACTAGCACACTTGTGTAGTGGCTCTGCAGCCCAAGGAAACATCTACAAAATGTTACAAATATTTTCTGTCAATGTTTCTGGGTAAATTCAAAAAGCATAAGCATTTCCTCCTTCATTTCCCCCCTCACAAGCACAAAATCCATGAAAGAAACATGTATGTTCTAAGTCGAATGGCAGAAGATGTGTCAATGACACCTTGATCATGTTTGGGACTTAGACTGATGGATTATGCATGATCCTGGTTTGTCTTTCACTTTGTGTACTTGACATATTCTACATTCTTTGGAGTCTTGCCTGTGAGACCTTAGATTCTAGAGGCTTGGAGCCTAACCTGTAGGAGTAAGAGAAAACCCTCTTCCATGTCCCCACCTAGTAGTGGGCAAGAATGGTTTCCCCTGCAGAGCTCAAAAGTTGGGCAAGCTGGTATAGTAAGTTGTGTTCCTTCATACATCGGTTTTAGGACTTTATAAGCTGCTATCAATGTTATGTATGTATAATGTTGTTGTAGTAGTAGTAGTATCCATCTTTAGTTTGGAATTTTTCTCTTGAATTATAAAAAGAACATAAATAATGAAGTGATCTTTCAAAAAAATCACACAGTAGGAGACTGCTTTTGGGTCACTATTTTGTCTTTCTTCCAGTTTAAAATCGGAGAGGAATCTCATCTGCTCTTTCTGATGAATGTGGTTCTACTGTGAGTAATTTCTCTCCCTTGGCTTACAAGTGTTGTAATGGGCCCAAGACTTATTCAACTGGCAAATCTGTCCCTGGCCTGTACCATTTCATACCACAGGTGGGGACTCACACGCCTGCATGTTTCTTCATAAAACTCATTGAAAATGGGAAAATGAGGCTTGACTAGGACATTTATTTCTATTTTCTATGTGCAGAGTTGTTGTTTTAAGAGAATCATTCAGTAGTATGAATGCCCCACCCCATAGTTTCAACTCATACAGCCCATCCACAGTTGTACCATTTCAGGAAGAGCAAAAGTCTGTCTCAAAAATGAAGGCTGGGTGTTTACTACAATTGACTGCTGCGGAAGGAACAACAAAGATGGATAACTAGGTCATTTGTCATAAACAGGTGCAGTGTTTGTGAAGTGGCACTTGCTTACCACAGGGCTGAATTTGGCTTCTGGAACTCCAATTACATTCTCTACTGGATTATAACAATGCCAGAATTAGATAAAACCCAACATTGGTGTGTGTGTGTGTGTGTTTAAAAAAAGAATCTAAGAAAAGGAATTGGTTTGAGAGAGTTATGAGAGGTTGAAAAAGGTAGGCATGAAATCTCAAATTTAATTATAGCCCTCACTTTAAATAAAAAAAAAATCAGACTAATAAAAGGCAGGAAAAAGGGGGTGGGAGCATTTTGCAGGAAGAAAGGAAACTTCAGACAACTCCCTTTTTCTTTCCCATTATCTTACAAGATACTTAATGCATCAGCAAACTGAGAGGCTCTTATTTCCCTAGTTCCGCTACCCTGCCTTTTTCTCTTTCTATCTGCTGTAATGGCTATAATCTTGCATTGAAGTTGTATATAAATAAACGGGACCAGGGTGCATAGGTCGAAGACTGCAGCTACCACAGCTACACACAAATAGCACAACTCTAATTTAAACACCTTGAACCAAGCGCAGTAAGCTTTTGTAGAGCAATTCCAGACTGTTGCTGATTTTGGGTGGGATTCAATCACATACTGGCACATTCAGGTTGTGTAATTAATGTTGATTGGGAGGTCTTTTCCAACAAACTCACTTCCCCACAAAGATCAGACCTTTTAGAATAAGAAATGTGACAGGGCAATGCACCTGCACTTGCTTTAATGCAACACCATACAGTGGTACCTCAGGTTAAGAACTTAATTCGTTCCGGAGGTCTGTTCTTAACTTGATACTGTTCTTAACCTGAGGTACCACTTTAGCTAATGGGGCCTCCCGCTGCCGCGCAATTTCTGTTCTCATCCTGAAGCAAAGTTCTTAACCTGAAGTACTCTTTCTGGGTTAGCAGAGTCTGTAACCTAAAGCACCTGTAACCCGAGGTACCACTGTATAGAGTTCATACAAAAAAATTGAATGAATGCTCCTCAACAGCCGTTTTTAAATCTCCCCACAAACCAACCTGAATGAATGTTCGTTCCACAGGCTGTCTGAAAGCACACCATGGTTTTATTACTGTTGCCAGAGATGGGTTGAATTTTATTTTATTTCTTTTTTTGTGAGGGGAAAGCCTGGAGGAGGGAGCTTTTGCAAGACACCCTCAATACCCCTTCCTTCAGTGAGTTCATGCTTTTGTTACTGTTGTTGCCAGCCGTTTTCTTCCCACACAGAGCCAATGAGCAAGAATGCAGCGGCAGTTATTCCTCCTCCTTTTCACTTCCACTTATGTTTACTTGCTCATCCCTGCTTGGCCAGAGTCAAGTGAACAAGCTACCCTGAAATGGGGAAGAGGAGGAGCAGGTCCAAGGGGGCTCTTGTCAGTGGGCTTCCTGCTGGGATATGGGCTCTCAGCAGGTGCATGACCATGATGCTGGCCAGGTTTTCATTCTCCCCATGCCAAAGTGATGGGTTTTGTTGGGAAAACCATCCTCCCACTTTGCAACTCAGCACCTATTTTCAGGTGTGTGTGGATTATTACTATGTAAAATGGTGGCCACTCTTGATGCCTGAGCAGCCTCTGGACTGCAACAGGTTGGAAGGAGGCGTTTAACTCTTTATCGCCATGTCACAGTCCTGACAACAACAACAAAACCTCTACTATTTCCATTTGAAGGAAATCTCTCACTGGTGCCCTTGAAATGCAAATAGCAATTTCAAGAGAGACAATTTTGTTTTGCAGTGGGAGAATGAGTGAGATTTCCCCTCTCCACCATCCCAAGACTCCTAACTACATAACAAAAAGGGAGGCACATTAATTGTGTTCCTGCTACTAACACTGTCTAGTTTGGCCCACAGATTACACTGGGCACGTGGAAGGGAACCGCTTTGTCCTGTGTGAGGAATTGGCAGTTCTCAGCAATGTGACCCAACCCCTAAGAAGCTCCAGTTCTAAATCTTTAAAGCTTGTGCCCGCTTTGCAATAAGATCTGCCAGTGCAGACTACACTGCAGAAGAAAAAGAGTTGGAGGAGAAAACGGGACCGGGATCACATTCTGTAGTTCTGGCTATAAAATTATAAACCACACAGCTTCTGCAATTGTGTCCATCCTCCCTGCTTTTAGTGTGTATGTTTTTTCCTCTTGCCAACACATGTCATTCATTGATTTGCCATATAGATTTAAATCTCAGGCTAGAGGCCAAGGAGTGCAAGAAAAGATTGCTAAAGGTCACTTGACTTGTTACATTTTGGGTGCTCACTGAAAAATAAAATGTGTGACAAATGCATGCATCATGCAGGTACAGTTATTTGGAACACAGGAAGCTGCCTTCAACCGAGTCAGACCATTGTCCCAACTAGCTCAGTATTGTCTATGTTGACTGGCAACAGTTCTCCAAGATTTCAGGCAGGGGTCTCTTCCAGGCCCAGGAGTGTAGCCAGGATTTTTGTTAGTGGGGGGGGGGGGGAGAACTGAACTATCTGTGACGCAATTGGTCAGTTAGCTAAGTATTTTTATTTATTCAATTGATCTGGGTGTGGGTGTGTGCAGATGCCACCCTCTGCTGCCCTCTGGCTGTGCCCATGTCCAGACTTACCTGGGGATGCCAGGCATTGGGACCTTTTGGATGAGATATGCCCTTCTCCATATTGGGGAGTCATGATTGACTGCAAGTTTATATTTAAAGTACATTTGGAGCCAAGCCCAGAATCACCCCAACATAGTGTGTGAAGTCATCTAGGGTAGACTTTCCCCAGCCTGATACTCTCCCATAATTTCTAACCATTGGCCATGCTTGCTGGGGTTGATGGGAGCTGGGGGAGGCTGGCCTAAGGGTGCATGAATCAAGAGAGAGAGAGCTTGCAAAATCCATTTTCTAATAAAAGGATTCTGTTCAAACTGCATATTGAACAGTTAAAGTGTTACCCATTATCTAGTTGAATACTTGCTGCCAACTCTGGTGCCCCACTGGAGTTGGCATCCACTTTTCTGAAGGGGTCATCAGAGCAAATTCATCAATCTGACACTCTCTCCGCTGAAAAACCCATCACCGCCTTCCACGAGATGGTGAAACTCATCAACGCCGCTCTTTGAAAATTAAGGAACAGTTTCTCATCTGTCAATCTGGACAGGAGATAGAATAATTTGGCCTCCATTTATATGCTAAATTATTACAAGGATAATAATGGTGGGTTGGGGAGGGGGAAATATAACAACCACACTGATTGTTTAGGTGACTGTAAATGGGTCGTCTTCAAAAGGCGAGGTTAGAGAAAAATGCAGATAAACACACAGATTGCTTCAAAATCAAAACACTTAAGGCCCGGTGTTCATCCTTCTAGAACTAATGGCCATTCAGAGTGAACGGGATTCTGCCTCGAATTGCATTCAGATGCAAATATTTAATTGCCTCGGTAGCAAATAAAATTATAGGCCCCAGGTATTTGCTGGATGTTTTTCCACAGAAACAAC